CAAAGATGAGGAATTTAAAATATTTGGAAAATTCCTTTTTGCGAGATTCTTTAGCGACTTAATATTTTTTCGCGAAATTAATTTACGAATAATTTGCAAATGCCCGCGAACAAAAGAGATTCGGGAGAAACACAATATATTCCAGTTAATAGTCGCTAATATCGTTTCGCGTCTCTGTGAAATACATCTCGACACCGATCTTAAATTACAAAGTTAATGGATTTGGCAAATACTTTGCAAACATTCTGCTGAAATATCCATGTAGGTCCGGACAGCAGATCCGCAGCTGCGATCGTAAAATTCTCTACCTCGCTGTCGCGCGGCGATATTTTTGAAATACTCTTTTGTCCGTTATAGTGTAGTTCGTGAAAGCGGCTTTACCGTGAGAGGCTCTCTCTTTCTTGAAGGAAAGAAAAAAATATTTGGAAAGTTATATATCGCGCGACTATGGACGTGCGCAATCAGTGATTTACGCTGCTAATAAAGTTTTTCGAATTAACATAATATACCATCGACCGGCTGTTTGACTCTTGGCTTTTCCTGCCTCTAACTTCGCAATAATGTGATGTGATTTATCGTCGCAGCTAGTTGAGTCTATTTCTAAGATTTTTCCGAAGCGGTTATCTCGAAATCTCGTGCCTTTTAAATTTATTGTTTATATAATTGAAAACGGCAAAGTGTTTTATACCTAAAATGATTTGTTATTTCAGAAATTTCTCTTTTCATATATTACCTTTTTAAATATTGAAAAATCTGACACCAAATAAGATCGGTATTACTCGACCTTCCAGAAACCAAAGGAATAATATTATAACGTGATTTATATTTGCTTTAAAGGTTACAATATGTATATCGCCTACTTACGAGGCACAATGAATCATGTGTTGTTGAGCACGAACGCCGAAAATACATGTTAATTACATTGTTTTAATTTGAATGCGATGAGATTATATCGAGCTGCTTGCGATTTCATTTTACGACCGTCGAAATGTTCAAGCACCACACGTGCCAATGTCGCCATTATTTTGGTACGAAAAAAAAAGAAACAAGATTCCGAAGAGAAAATGATTTAGCAATTATCACTTCGAGATTTCATTATTACCGCGAAAGACCAACCGAACGATCGGTTGATATACAATACGATCATCGATGAGCGACAAAATTAATGAAATCCGCCGCAGCCTCTCGCCTTTTCTCTCTTCTTGATCGCACTTAATGACGCAGATAAAGTGTCGCCCGTAAAATAACAATTAAACGATAATATACAGCCACTGCGAGGGCTTAAAAAATCCGCCGTTGCCCGAGGCGTGCAGAAATCGTAATACCGTTACGATTTCTGAGCAGCTCAAGCAGCGTAATATCAAAGCGTTCTTTCGTGGCTTATTTCATGATCCCCCAATTTAATCCCGCGATTTAGCCGATGCGGCTTTCGGCGCGCCGCGCGCCATTAAAAAGTTCCGCGTCTTTAATATCGCGCATAAAACGCGAAAAGAATTTATGCCCCTCTTCGTATTTATTCGACGCCGTTTTAAGAGGGTTTCTTCTTCGACTCGTGGAAACGCCACGACATTCATCGCGGATATTATGCCCGCACTTTAACGGGCGTGCTGTTTTGTTTCGGTGGAAAGAGAACGACAACGAAAGGCATATATATAATATATATATGTGTATACATATACGAGGGGTGGAAGAATGAGAAGCGGGAATGGAATAAGTAGCGGTAAGAAAATCAACACTAGGCCTTCAGCTCACCGGCCGCCGCGCCGGTTAATTAGACATAATTAAATCGCGTGAGGTCCGCTCGCATCTGCTCCTGTGTCTGGGGGATAATGGAAATCCCGCTGTGCCTATATGGATCGCGCGAAATATAATCGCGCGACCTTGATTTTACGGGACGATCCTCGTAATCCGCTTGTACGAACACATTCAACAGCCCAAAGATACTTTTTGATACAGAAGAGTATTTTTGTATATTTTTAACTTTGTTTGATAGGGTATTAAATACATAATTCGAGAAAAAATCGAAAGTATTATAAACAAATACAGGAATAAATATTTGAACATAATTTTATTTTTATTTTTTATTATTTTAATTATATTATTTATAATTATTATATAATATTATTTTGTTTATATAATTCTGCGATAAATTACAGAAACTTTATTTTATACAGAAATAAAATACTATAAAATTAGTTGAATTTTTCTCAAAATCCTATAAGAATACATAAGTAGAGAATTTGCGAAGAATTATTTGATGCGATAAGAAAAATCAAGTTAAAATATGTGATAGTTCGTGTCATAAAATAAGTAGTTGGGATCGATCATTTCTGACGGATAAACATTAAGTCAGCAAAGAAAAAATGTGTTCATACGTAAATCAAAATGTACTATGACTTCCTGCATCGTATCCAGTTACTATAATTTTCTGAGCAATAAATTATATGAATATTCTCTTTTTGCATCTCGCGTTTCTCCATTACAGAATGGGAATTACAGAATGTCACATGACAGATGGTAAAACGAGTAGTAATATTGTGGGCGAGAACACTGTAATAACTAATTTCTTTAACGCAAAACAAATAATCTTTGACGCATGCGAGATTTATCTCGGAAATAGTCCTTCGTTATTATCGCAATATATTGTGTGCGTATACTTACCTCTTTTATTTCTTTTGACGTCTCCTCTCATCTTTCTCTTCCTGTTGATTCTTTGCTGCTTTGATGTTTTTAACGACACTTACATGATAATCGCGAAAACAATTAATTACGATTAATCGCGCGCATCATTAACAGAATATTAAGATTACGAAAATTATGTACGCACAAAAATCAATAATTCGCTCTGCATTTGTTGCTCATGTGGTAAAATGTCACTTTTGTTGCTAACGGGTAATAAATATTTTTCAGGCAAATTACTATCTTCTATTATAATATAAGTGATAGTTAAGTGGTTATTGTATAATATCCTTCACAAAGCTTATTACATTTTTTAAATATAATTATAAACGGCGTGCATATAATTGTGTGTGTGGGCGAATTTTTTAATGTTTAACAATTGCACGGATCTTGATTTACATGCCGCTTGAAAGTGATATCGCGAGACAATAAAAGTAGACTTTGTCATTTACGACGCTTAAGATTTGCGATTATTGTTTGCCACGAGAGATATCATTTTTTTCTTGACCGATTGCGATTGTAACGTGGTATATATGTACATATGTACTCTTATGTAGCTAATACATTTCGGATGTCTGCGAGAAATTGTTACCTGCGGCAAGTGACATATCGAAATAAGAAAATCGAATTTCGTCTGAAGGTTTCGACGACTTGATCGAACAACAAGTTATTTCGGTAGTCACCCCCCGTTAGGGATAATTAAATCGGAAAATATAAGCATTAAGAGAACACATGATAATTAAATCATCATTATAATTAAAAATGATTTAATTTAATTATCGTTTAAATATTTACCATCATCATATATTATTATAAATTTGCAATGGATTTTAAAGTACGGAGATAAAATTCCGATCGTGTCTCGCTATTCAGCGAATAGCAATCGACTATAACAGCGAAGCTGGATCCATATGTACAATTATATATTTTATTGCTCGGTTTGCGCGCTCATAATTATTGCGGCAATTAGACGGCGGATAATTAATTGGATGCCGGGAGTTATGCACACGCGAAATCCCTTTGGTGAGAGGATACGCCACGCCGCGTTTGAAGAAGGGAGGAAGGAAGAAAGGAACGTTGAAGTCGGGACGCGAGAAGAGGGGATTCAGCGAGAAGGGGCCCTTCGTGGGAAAGGACGATTCGTCGGGCGGATTCCGGGATAATGCAACCGTCTTATAGAAACGAATGTTCAGGACCCCGGGGAATATCGCGTGACCGCTCGTAAGATGTTCGGAATGTTACTCGGATAACCGACGGTTATATGCGGCGTAACCTTCCTTCCAGCGTTCCATATCGTTAAGAGCTCTCTCGTATGCGTACTACACACATATGGATGGCCGCCGACACGGCGGAATCGTAGGAGCCCCGGTGACCCGGGTTCTCTCGCCCGCTTTTATCCCGCGTCGCGTAATTTGCCGAATTAATTTTCTGCGCCGTCGGTCGGTGATCAAAGGAACGGACACGGGCTCGGGAATTCACGTGGGTCTCTTTTTTAATTGGCAGGCAAGCTCTCTCTCTCTCTCTACGCGCACGCTGAATAACAGAAGTGCGGTGCAAATTTCCACGTTGCTGCGACCAAGAATAATCCGCAATAATTAACAGTATTTTTCTATTTTTTATTAACTGTATTTTTCTATTTTTTTATTTTTTATATAAAATGTATCGGTCAATAACTACTCAAGCCACAATTTATTATTATAATAAGTAAATCGTGTTATTTATAGTAATTAATTTTAAATAATTCTAAAGAGATTGCGTTTTTTATCATTTATTAGCTATAGACTGCCGTTGTCCATTACTTAGATTAAAAAAAAAATTTATATTCGATCTTGTTCATTTTGACAATCAAAACGTCATTTCTTTCGGGATCGAAATGAAGAGGGAAAAGCGCGGATTCTCTCGCCGATGCATCCGATCTGCATTTCAAACGATTCCGATCGCTATTCTATGCATTCCGCGCTTACAATCTAATGAAATGTTGCGGGCGCATCCGCGCGCGCGCGCGTAATGACGCGTTTCCGCGCTTCACATGAGAGAACGAAAGGGAGACGCAGCGGCTGCGCGGGAAAATCGCGCGGTCCACAATCGGTGCACGCGCGATGCACCGATCGTGAATAGTCGATGGGGTGGATAATGACGGGTGCGCCGGGATGATCCGGGATCGTGCGTGCGCCTTCGGGAAAAGAAGCCCCGATCGATGTCGAAGACGCGTTCGACGCGGCCACCGACTTTCTCTCTCTCTCTTCCCTCCCTCTCATTGATGCACCACGAATGAAAGATAATCGCCGCGCTCCGGGCGACGAAGCAGTCTTCCACGCTCGGCGAGCGAGGCACACGCTCCGCCACGCTTCGCCATCCCCACCCGCGCCTTGAGGCACCTTCGCGGCACCCGCTCGTTTGATGGCCTTGTTTGGCAGTAAAGGGCTAGGCAGGGTAAACGTGACCGAGATCTCGCGAATCGGATTCATCCTCTGCGGCTTTTCGCGTAAGTGCATTAATTGAGATGCAACGATGTGTCAATTCGACAAAGTTGAGTTTTTCATTTAGATAAAAAGTGCATATGCAATTTTATATTACACGTGTATTATATTATTTAGATTGATTCTTGTTTTATGACTTTATAAAGACATCTGATGCGCTTTGACAAATTGAATATTAATATAATTTTATATATAGTTTTTTGATTTTATTGCTGCTTTGTATATGTATGTACGATATCTCTGATATAAATCGTGTGCTTATTCAAACCGTGCGATATGAGAACTAATTCGACCGCGAGTTATTTTTCAGCGGCACACTCGGCCGCAGGGCGATCATTATCCTTGTGTTAATGTACGGTCCCTTGATTTTAATGTCTCTGCCCGTTGGAAACTTTACGATTCTTCGTTTCCCTTGGACTTTATGCGTGTTACAGTTGCGTCGTTGTCTTACCGGTTCGTTAGCGACAGGTTCCACCTTGCGTCTTCACTGCGGAGAAAAAGAAACGAATTATCTCGCTCGCGAAACTATCGTCACATCTGCTTCTGTCCCATTTATTAAAATTTTGCAATTTGCAGTTATTATCATAGATTGCGAATACTTTTATTGCATATCTTCGCTAAAGCGAAATAATTTAATCGAAAATTCTCCTAGACATTTTATTAATGATCAGCAATATTATAAATAAAATATATACGTCGATAAAAAAAAAAAAAAACAATTTAATGTTTATAAAGAATACAATTAAATTTTATGATACTTTAAATGAAATTATTTATCGTTGAATGTGATATATGAAGATTCATATTTATATTTGAAAAAAAAACATTTACATAATATAAATGATTTTTTTATTTGTATTCTGTTGAATTAATAGCGAACATATAGTTTTACTTCAACTAGTCAACATTTCCATTATTATAGATTTTATTTAATATAAGATATAAGATTTTTTTTATTTACCTTACAGCTAAGTGAAATCTTTTTCTTAATTTATAGTTGTCAATAATATTTTTCGTGCTTTTCAGTCACGGCTTAATAAATTTAGAAATTTTATGACATGAATAAGCACACTGAAAAAATTATGGTAAAACAACATATCCCGTTATATTTACGTGCGCTACAACATACGCATTTTTTACGCGGTCGCCTCGAGGAAATTATAAGTCCTCATTTCGCCACGTGTGGTTTCACGAATATTTTATTCCTACATCGATCTCGACGAGTTCATATACTCCGTGACGTTATTCGTTTTTATTTTTATCAATGCAAATCTATTTAACATTAGTACCGCAATAAATATTTTAAAATCTCAATTTGATACAGAATCGATCGCTTCTTTCATTATCTATATAAATGAAATATGATTTCCAATATAGCAACCAATTAACAGGAGCATTTCGAGCTCCAACCACCGATCGCAACGAAACAAGAAGCGAGAATATAATTGGGACCAGAGAAATATTTCACCGTTACGTCGTGACGATGATAATCGATCGAGACGGTCCTTTTTTTTCGCAAGGAGATTTACTGTACGACGCGCATACATATGAGAGAACCCGCGGCCACAACGTGCGTGTCCGGCCCTCTTATAGGACGACTCGGTTGTTACGACTTCACGCTGACTTTTGCACGCGCAAACTCGCGGGGCCGCCACGAGCGTTCGTGCAAATGAAACGTGCAAAAGCCGTGTACAGCGAGGGAGAGGCAGGCGGCACAGCGGAGGCTGATATGCCTCGAGCCGATCCAGTAAAATTGCGTAGGCAGATTACTCGAGTTGTTATCCTCTGCCCCATTATTCGCGCGCGCGGAGCACTCGGAGCTATCGACCGGCCAGAAATCCCAGCCTCGATCGCGAGATTCCTCTGCTTTCACTCGATGATTCTGACGACGGTAATTTCTTTCAGATTGCCTCTCGTCGATGATACCGAATATTCCGATTATCGACGCCCGTTCCCGATAATGAAACGTTTGCGATGCGAACGAGTTTGCGTTCCTATATACACTGAAATGAGCGAGAGGAGGATTTCTTCCTGCATGTGAATATAATTATTGTTTTTTTTCTCTCATGTATCATTCGCCTATGCTGGATAAATGTACAGATACAAATAATTAGCAGTATATATATATATTATAATCTCAATTTCGTCCGGAATAAGAAGCTATTCTATTCTACACGAATAAACGAAAGATAATTTCCAATGTCGCAGCCAATTAATAAAATAATGTTCAAAGGCCAATAATTATTAAAGAAGCGGTTATTGGAACAAGAGAATATTTCGTTATGCTGTGACAAGCTGACAATCAATCGTGACGTTTGTTTTCTCCACGAAAAGATTTATTACGTCATAAGCATTTAATAATATACGGTTTTAGGTCGGGATGAGCGATTATATATGGGTAAATATTTCTATAACCACAGAACTGCTTTGTTAGTACAATCGCCACGAGGAACGTTTTATTTCATTATCCAAGTGAATCTCTTGCCACAAGACATACATCGGTGCAACCGCGAAATATCCGTCGATATATTCGCCGCGTGCGTTTCGTAATGGAGGTTCGCCGCAAAAATCCTCCGAAAATACCGCAACTCACGTTTCGGGAAAACGTGATCAGATAAATGCGCACTTTCTCCTCCCCAACAGGTGGTCCTCGCTCTGCAAAATGCGCCTGCGTCCCGGATTTCCCGGTCGCTCCTCGATGCGGGGGTTCATCGTCGAGATCCTTTGTGATCCCGACGAGGCGGCATATCCCATGGGATTAACCGAGGAAATCGGTGCTGACGCCGGGCACGCGCTTCACGCTGCGAAAATAACGGTACCGCCGCACCGAACGACCGCCGCGCAGGTCCGAGATTTTAAATCTCTTTTTTTCTCCCATCCTCTTAGGTATAACCGCACACCTTATGGCGACCAGAAAAGCGAAAGAGACGGGGGATGAAGAGAGGAAAGGAAGAAAGATTCCGCCGCGCCTCTTCGTAACAGATCGTGTCATCCGCAGGTGAACACTGACATGATGTTGGTGAAAAAGTAAGCACCGTTTCGCGAATTTGTGGAAGAAGCACAGTACGATAGAAAATCTCGGGCCAGATTTGGAACTTATTTTTTTGTCAATTTTTTTCAAAAAGTTAAAGAGAGAGAAGATTAAAATATATACGAATTTTGTGATGCAGCATATATATATATATATATAGAAATGATTTGGTAAATATTAAATTATAAGTATTTATAATGCTACAAAAATTGTGCAGCAAATTATTAAGACCTTTAATTTTCTTAAATTTTGTTATCGATATATAGTTCTTAATTTGTTGTTGTTAAAATTTTATAATCATTACTTTCCATTGATAAAATACTCTGCCACTTATTTTATATGCAGATAATAAAACTTAACGAAGAGTTTAAAAGAGTCTCGTTAAGTTATATTACCGAATAAGTAATCTCTTCGTTTCAGATTTTTTATATCTGCGCGATGAACTTAAGCATCGTGGAACAGGTTGCGCGGCTATATAACGTCTCGCGGCGAAAATTTCGCTCAATTTGCGCGTTTTCCTTTTTATTAATTAGCGGGATTATGTAAGCGTCAATGGTTTCGATAATTAAATATAATTGTCGAATTATCCCGATGACCTGCATCGGTCGATTTAAAGACACGTGCCTTAATTGCAATCCGGGTGCTACATTACGGCATTCCACTGCAAAAATTTTTGCAATTTATTTCAAGTTATTTAATTACCCATTTTTTATCCATATGATCATTAAAAGCGTGAACTAAAAAAACTTATTAAAAATTTACAATACATATATATGTTAGTTTTGTGTTTTGCGGTCGTTCTCTGTTGTTCGTGAAATCTCGTTTCTTGGGTTCTTTCTGTTGAGTAGTTTTAAGCTCTCTGCATATTTCTGACCGCCCTAACCCGATAAATTTTGACCATATTGTGGGATCTGCCAACGGACGACGACGGACCATCCTGACAGGCGCAATTATCCAAGGACGAACGAGGAAGCGGCAGGTGATCCCTGGTCGAAGAAGGTATTAGGAGATACACCGATTTCGCTGGGTCTCTGTCTGAAGACCGGCAAAAACCTAAACTAGCAAATGCCTAGGAGAATGCCTAAGATGTCGGCCGACGTTTGTACCTTTCGCCGACCCATCTGCGCCATTTTCGGCAGGTGAAACGGAATATCGCGAAATACGAGAGAAGAAAAAGGATTCCGTGTTATTCGTAGTTGCCGGACCGAGACGAATTTCGCGGTGGGACTCTAGCCGAGTCTCTTCCAAACCGCAAAAGACCAGATCAAAATGTTTTTGAATAGGTTTGATAGGTTTAAATAGGAAAGAAACGTGTAAGAGGGGTTTGAGAGGCGTCAAAATGATAATGTAAATAATTTTCTCGCGAAAACAATTCAGACACGAACAGAAGGTAGTGCTTATATATCCATAATGACGATACTTCCATAATGACGTTGACTTTCTTTTGTGCTTGCATCTCAAGTGTTAAATATTGCACATAAAATACATATATAATCATATCAAAAATTAAGCGTCAAGATATCGAACATAGTTTTTATTTATTTTTATGGTACGATAAAATGCAGCGAAAAAAATGAAAAATTGAATAAACATTATTTCGAGTTGCAAAAAAATCCGTCCTATTGCCGCTTTATCCTGACGTACATAGATAGTTACATGTTATTTCTCTCGCGTGTCGAATTAGAGCAGGAACAGCGCTCGACTACGCTCAGTTGTGAATGGTTTACATTATAGCGGCAGGTGTCCTATTAAGGAATTCTTGAAACTAGTTCTGCACTCGCGTCGTTGCGTGTTCGCGATCCCCATTATTGGCGGATCGTCCGCGCGACGTTAAATGAATCAGCCCATCGGCCGTTTGACGTTTCACATCCGCGTCTCTAGCAGCCCCAGCGGGTATTTCGTGGATTATATGCGGACCCCTCGGGATGCTAATTTTAACTCCTTACACTTCAATGTCATTATACGGAATACATTGCGCTGCGAAATCTTAATTGGCAATTACTATAATGCAGTTGTTATAATTTGTTGTAAATTGCTTCGCGGTTGTCGAGAGACTTGATCTGCTATTTTGATTTTTTGTATAGGTTTTTTATTCCTAGAAAAAAATAACATATCACGTAGCTGCATTTATTAATTACATTTGTTTTAAATTTCTCGTTTTCTCTCTCTTTAAAATTATTTGCGATAAAATTTAGTTGGTTTTTTTTTATAATGCTCGCGAGTATAAATTATGAAAATGAAGGATTTGTGACTGAAACGATCGCATTGAGAATCGCGAGGTAAGAACACGACAAAGAGGGATATCAGAATAATTGCCGTTCTTACATTCCCCTACCTTTCATCTGCTATCGAGCAGATCATCGCGCATGAATACCCCGCGAGTAATTGGCCTGCGGAATTAGAGGAGACACGCGTTAGTACCAATAATTTACACGCTGCGCGGATCTTTTTATGCACGTTCGCGCGCGCGATAAAAAGAAAAACGAGGGTGCAATTTCTCTTACCGCTCAGCTACAAATTACATTACCGTGGCAAATGTGGCTATTACACGAATTCTCAATCTAGTTCCCCGGCTCGATTCCCCGCATCTCAATTATTCGTAGACAGTTTGCGGCTTCTGGAAGATATTCTTTGACGTAACGAATGGACGCTTTCAATCTGTTTGTAGCTTCCTTACGAGCGCATCATGATCGCCTAGTCTTTTTAATTTTACGTAATAATCTACATGACGATGTAATCTCGCGACGGTGCAACGACAGGCATTTCGCTGTCGTCTTTGTCTCATCAGAAAAGCCATTTTAATAATAATCATGAGAGAAAAACGACTCTCATTCTCTCTCTCTCTCTCTCTCTTCTCGGATTTCTCTCGATTTCTTCTTTTCCCATATCTTTTTCGTCGGGTGATACTAACCGTCTCAAAACGAGTCGCACCGCAAAATTACGAGGGACCGCGCTGTAATCTCCGATTTGTAAAATTGCTAACACTTTTCTTCCTTTCGCTGACAGACGGAGAAACGACTTCTTTGATCGTTTAAATACGAGTTACATTACGCCGGCGAATAGCCTATTACACAGTCATTGACTTTAGGTTTGCGTGTGGAGATGTATTTAAACGATTACCCGCGGTAATTCGAGGTTTTCTTTGTAGTAGTTTTCATTCAAATATCAATGTGAAAATGTACTCGTACATTATATACGAATTTAAATAATAGAATGCGTTACATCTGGGGAATCTAATAAATTATTATATTTATATACGTATATATATAAAACGAGATTATTTTTAATATATATAAAATTATTATTAATATAAATAGAATATTATAATTATTATACATTACGGATTGTTTAAAAAAAATTCGATTTAAATGTGATTCGTTCAATCATAAAATTAATTACAATGATGACTCACTCCAGTATCTTATTTTTAATGTTGGTTACAAAAATATTCTCGCAGCTGCCTTCCATTCCGATACCAATTACATAGTTGCGTCAAGTGCGCCATTACGCAATTACATTCTCTAGTGTACCTCCATTATTCTTGGATAATCTACCAGATGATCCGAAGCGTGCGTTCCGTTCGACGAGCCTGTCTAGCTGTTCCACGCGAGCGCGAACTTTTTTCAATATCTTCAACTCACACCTGCCGCTTACCTGACGAGCTTGGATTCTCAGTTAAGCCCTCAAGGACCTAGAAATGGCCACTATTTTTTTTGCACCGCCAGCTAATTTGTTTCGCAGGCTCTCAAGTGTCATCTGCGCCGAGCGTTCCAATGCGTTTCTCTCCCTGTCCTCTGGGGACCGAATGATCGACCGGCGGTCGCGTTAGATGACTATCTTTTTTTTTCTCCATCGATATATGTGTTCTTGGAACTTATATTGCTTTTATTGCAACGTTTCATCTTCCTCCGCGCGGATCTCTAACAATAAGATAATCGTCTCCTTTGTGTGCGGAAATAATATTTATTATTGTAGGTTTGTGTGGTTTATCAAATTATCAAATCTTTGTCGAAAATACAAAAAGAAGCAGATTCATGCGTTCATCCGAAAAATACAATAATAGACGATGATGATCGCTTTCGCCGAACAATTTTGATTTTTGCCCACAGACTGATCATCTGTCTATGAGAAATATTCTCTTTTTCCGGAACATCTCTCCCATGGTACGCTGCAGAGAAAACGTTGCTAGATTTAAGTTCGGAGAAAAATGCGAGTCCACGCGATGGTCAACACCCGCTGCGAGGGGACGGATTACTTGGGCGAACCGTTTCCCGCAGCGTCGGGACGTCCCGAAAACAATTTCCTCGTCACGCGGAAATAGTTCGACCCTCGCCGGGAGTTGCCTGGTACCAAATCCAGGCACGTGCCTCACCCAATTCTCACGTGCTGCCTGCCTGCCTGCCGATTCTTTCTTTCTTCTTTCGTATTTTCGACCACGACTCTATAAATAGATTCCAAACGGATACGCGACTTTATGTAAGCGGCTAAACGTGTGAGGGCCCCAAGAATCGTTGTCTTGTCAAGAATCGAGCTCTCCTTTTTTTTATTTATTTTTTTTCTTTTGCAGACGAAGGTTGCCTTTGCGTTAAATTAATTAGTTTTATTGACGCCGTTTTTCGTATAAAATGTCATGTTACATGCGTTTCTTGCAGAAGTTAAATTAATAATTTTAACGCATCAACGCATTAATATAAGTAAAAATTACAAGGCCAACTCCGAAATAATTCCGTATATAATGATACTTTTTGTTAAATCGCTGACGCTATTAAATCGCCAAGGCAAGTGTGACCAAGACTGATGGTACATCGAAGTTCTTAAAAGCGATCGCACCGACGCGACGGGCTGATTACGAAATCGAAAATTTTTTCTCCTATCGTGTAGCCGTATGCGATCAAGACTGGCACGTTAGGTCAGCGTGGCCGGCAATCTTGCCGAGTAATCGATAAAGTTATACGCCGAGAGGAGCAGCTGCCCGTCAATCATTGTTCCAAGATCATCGACGTCAAAAGCTACACGCGATGTAGGTTACCTTGCATTCCGTATATATAACTCGCGCGAGCTAGAGAGCACGCTCTAGAACGTATAACCAGAACACTCTCGAGCGTCTACTATCAA